AATAAAAACATCATCGCTTTCTCAAAATCACATAAAGTCATATTATAACATCGACTGAAATAAAGAATAAAATAAAATATTAAAATCACGATGTATCTCGGTGCATTGCGCGAGTACGCTTCTAGTATATATATATATATATATATACACACACACACACATATATATTATATTAATACATGATGATTGGTTTCTGGTGAGAAGATAAGTTATGGTGAGAAACGTAGGAAAATATCTTCACCCTTGAATCAATCATAATTGAATGTCAACATTAATGATGTGCACCAAGGTGCATCAAATCAATTCCCTTCTAAAGTGAGATTCATTAGTGGGTATGATATTAAAAGTAATCAAATATTCAGATATTTTCTTACACTTTTCACCATAACTTATCTTCTCACACAATAATTTGCCTAATACACAATTGCATGATCACCTATTGGTAAAGCCAACCAAATCAAATGTGCCTTTTCCGACGGCCACCTTGTTTTCATCGTTCATCTGCTATGAGGCCCTCTTAAACCGAAAACCAAAACCAAACCTACGTCAGTTTTCTTCAATCATGCCCACATACCCAAACCCATAAACAAACCACACACGTAAACAATGGTGGATCCGGAAATTTAGCTGACTGTTGGTCCTTGGAGTATAAAAAATCTGAAACTGAATAATCCACCCGAACTAAATTGGTTTCGGGTTATTCGTTTTACATGTTAAGCGGTTCTGTTAAACAAACATAACAATCAATGTGCAGGAGAACGACTGTCAAACAAGGAAGTGGTGAGTTTCATCAAAACAGATTGCGGGCCACTAGGAGAAACCGTCCTACGTGATTGAAGGAACTAAAGACACAAGCCTAAATTATTTGGAAAACGAATTGAACTCTGAGTAGGGGCCTTTCCCCCCACACCAAACTATGTAAGTCCACCACTGCACGTGACATGTTTCATTATTTCCAGCCAACACAACCTCCATCTCCGACCAATACTGCACTCCAACTCCTGCAAACACCACCATTTTCTATTAAGCACAAACACATAAACACGAACACACAACACATAAGTGTAGACACACAACTGCAGAAAACTAAGAGAAAAGCAATAATCATTGTGATACATGTCGATTGATAGATTCATAAAAAAATAAAGCAACATGAGTTGGATATCCATTATCTTCATTAATTATTGCCACATGGCTTTCTTTTGTCCTTTGATCCATTGTCCATGTGTGGATCCACCAAAAACAATCACACAGTTCAAAAATAAGATAACTTATAAGTTAGTTGATGTTTATAAAATATGACAGCAAACTTAAATTGATGTCATGATACACAATTGTGATATATAACCCATTTACGTATAAGAAGAGATTTGTATTCACAAAATCAGTTTCATTCCAACAATCCAGCTTCCACAAAAGCAAACAAACATTGCTTCTTACAAGTCTCGTGTTTTCGTGTAATTCATCATTGATGAATCGTCTTGTATTTTATGTTTACATATAATTATCAATTGTTTTACTAAATGAAAAGATGTCAGCATAACTGACAGTTTATAAAAGATAGGGGTATGTAAAAAGTCATATGATCCAATTAGAACCGACCGACCATAATTGAATATCCAATTGTAATCGGATCCAAAATCTCAACATCCAAATCGGATAGGTCGGGTCTTGGATGACAATCAAACATCCAATAAAACCGAATGAATCCAATCCAATGACCATTCAATTCCCCATCCAGTTATCATCCAATTAATAAATATATATAATTATTAACATTTACAATTTTTTTATTTGATATTTATGTACATTGTTTTGTAATAACTTAAGAAAATATATGAATAATTGGTTGAATATTAGATTAAAAGATTGGACGAATCCAATCTAACTCAATGGTTAACCAATGGATGAAACCAATCCGATCCAACCATTTATTGGATTTGGATTGAATCGGATCGGATGACAAAATCTAACATCCAATGGATAATTAGATCGGATCCATATAAATTCATTGGATTTCAACCGATAAACAACCTAATTTTATCATTATTCTATTTATTTTAACATGCTTAATGGTTTCATAATTTTTTTTTGTTAAAAAACGTTTTATACGACACTTTGTGGGGTTGTTTATACATGTCATCTATGACATTTTTCTTTATGATTTATTTTTATATATTTTTTAAAAAGAAATATTAAATTAAATTATTATTCTGATGATAAATAAAAATAATTATTTTCCGTGACGTGTGGATATGCAACACGTTACAACCGTCATATTTTGGTGATGAGGTGGCAATACTTAACTTTGACCTGGCATCTACCATACTTTCAACTTTCAAGTGGTTGTATTTTTCAAATTCGAATCTGGGGAGGGTATAATCGTAAATAGTTCATTATGTTATTATAAATTATTATTAAGAGTAAATTACAGTTTTAGTCCTTTTGTTTTATGTGTTGTTTTTTTTTTCTTACTTACAATTCATTTATTACATAAAAAACACACTTTCAAGGTAATGTTTTCGTTTTGGTTTTCGTCCATGTCACTAACCGCTTAAGTGTCACGACCTACTCTACAGCAACAAGAAAACGATCACCTTATCCCTTAAAGATGAAACAACGACATCACTTTATTATTCTAAACAACCAAACTTATCGAGAATCATCTAAAAACCCTTGATTACTTCAGGGAAGCCATTTGCATGTGGTATAGGGAGCTTCACTAATTGTATGTAAATCTTAGTCGTCAAGAGCCTAGGAAAGTAACTCCAATCGTTAATGAAGTCATTCACCGAACTCTGTTAAAAAACGACGATGGAGTACCAATGGTACTATACAATCATAAAAAGATTTTACCCCCTATAAAACCGAGCCTTTTCTACCAAAGAGCTTTTGATCTAACGGTATCATAGTCTTTGACTAAAAATAAAGAACCGAAGAATTCAATTTTATCACTTGAATCCAAACCTTTACATGGATAGTGAAAACTTTGTAAACTACAAGGACTAAAAGTATAAATTAACGAGAAAAAAGGAAATGGAAATCATTCCGTTTTATTTTTTTATTTATATTATTTTTTATTCAGTTTTCCGTTTAAACTTCAAATCTTGGCATATCAAGTGGATCCCTCCCTTCTCTTCTCTTCTCTTCTCGTCTCTCCTCTCGTCTCTGAAGTGTCCCCTTTTCTTCAGGTATGTTTCGGTTATTCCATAGATCAACGATATCTAATCGATTCGTTTTCTTTTGCACATATGTTCATGTCTTGGGTTTGAATTTTGTGCTAAATCAACCTGTTTTTGCATATGTATTTGCATATCTAGGGTTTTCGTTTGTGTTTAGTGAGATCATTTAGCAGTCAATCATGTCACTGAGGCCTAGTGCAAGGACTGAGGTTCGCCGGAACCGTTACAAGGTGTCTGTAGATGCGGAGGAAGGAAGGCGGCGGAGGGAGGACAATATGGTTGAGATCCGTAAGAACAAAAGAGAAGAGAACTTGCTTAAGAAGCGTCAAGTACTGTCGTCGTCACAACCGCTGTCTGGTGGTGCACCCGTTCAAACTTCCACCATCGACAAAAAGGTTTTGTTACGTTTCCGATTTTTTCTACTTGCAGTTTATTTGATTTCGGTAAATGTACAATTGGATGCATATGATTCGACGCATTCGTGGCGTTACTTTTAATCAGTTCCCATCAAATATTTGCGTACAAGTAAAGATAATCATCAGGGTCCTGTAGATCAATAATATCAACACGAGACGAGGTCTATATACTAGCTTTAGAGCTTTGTTGCGTGTGCTATTTAATAGGCTTAATTTTTTTATTTTGTCACATATGTCACCATGTTTTTCTTAATTCTTCCATCAGATGTAGATGACTTGACATAGCTATGTCATTTTTTGGATGCATAAGTTTCCTTTCCATTTTCTTATATAGTTATACCGGTGTGCCAAATGCTATATCATTGAAATTTTGGATGCTCACGGCGGAAAGTCAAGAAATTGCCCCTTATAGTGAAAAAAATTCAATCACAAGTATATATAAGAATATTTTTAACTTTAAAACAACATGAATAATCGGTATTCATTATTCACAAATGAAATCTATGCAGATATATGGTTATCAAGATGCCAATTATTGATAACAACATAGTTTTAACTATTTATAGGTTTTTAGATAAGGCTTGAAACATAAATAGTTAAGAACAATAATATGATAAAAAGATTTTAAGAAATGAACCTCATGCATGGAATTGTCTTTAGTTGTAGAATATGCATCAAATTAAGTGTATAACAACAAACCCATAAAGAACGAAAGACATTCTACATAAGAACAATAGAAACACAATAAAATCATGTCACTCATCCAATTTTAACATTTGATCGCACCCCTATCTCCAAAAACAGTCAAATGGGGCTTCTACAAATTCATGATGGTAATTCAGACTCGCATTGTTTAAAGAAGCAAAATGGAGCAACTTCTTTACCTCCACAACATCGTTACTGTCCATGGAAGAAGAAACCTGATACACCATTTTTAGGCCAATTTTCTCCCTAAAACCCCCAAAACTCGATATCCTTTGAGGGCTAAACAAATGAGTGGCCGAGATTCTTCTAAGGTTACGCCAATACTCACCGTAAGGAGCAAAACCCATGGCACGGGGAAACAAAAGCTCATACGCCGACTTCTTCACTGGGCGGTCTCCTTGGCAGTCTCCGGATGACTGGAGATGACACCAAGGCCGGCCCTGGCCATAGGTTAAGGCCACAGGTGGTGACACACATCTAGGAGGCGAGGATTTTGATAACAAAATGGTTAATCATTTTGTCCGAGAATTCAAGAGAAAGCACAAAGAAGATCTTAGTGGTAATCTTAAAGCTTTGGCCAGGTTAACCATTAGGTTTTGCAATCAAACAAGAATTAGAAACTTAAAAAATAAAATAAGTAATAACCCTAAGTGGCTAAGTCCCTAACCTCACAAGTGTCAAGGGCGAGAGAGAGCGAGTCGATAGAGGCTGAGAGCGAGCAAGAGCAAATCACAGACGGCAGAAAGACGCAGTCACGCAGACGGCCGAGAGAGCGAGAGGCCGAGAGCGAGATTGTGTCAACTGTCAAGGCAAGGCGAGGCCGAGAGAGGCAGATTGCGATTGTCCGTGACCGTGAGTGAGCGAGGAGCGAGAGCGAGACGGTAACATTTTTAGCCCAAATGAAAACTGAACCTATATATATACATTGGGCTTTAAAATTTTGATGCCCTTGGGCTTTATGCTGCCCTGGGTCGTCGCCCCTTGGGCCTATGGCCAGGGCAGGCCCTGACCCTTTATCTACTGATTCCCTTTCACACACGTCAACATCAAGACTTGCTTTCTACATTCAAAATACATGATTTTGACATAAAAGGGGTGCATATAGCATTGTCCAAATTCATTGAGAGGAAGAATCAGAAGCTATAGTAACTGCTTTTGTGTTCGTTATTATAGTGTGTCGTTTTGCAATTGGATGTGTGTTAATAAGATGATGTTATTTTTGCAATAGAAAAGACTAAAAGAGCAAATTAAGGTGAATGATCCTTTCAGTAGTTTAATCTATTTGCAGCCCTAACATTTGGAGATGGCATTCTGATGGTTTGAGCTTGCTCGGTCGCTTCCTTTCCAGCTCTATAATCTATATATGTCTTTAATAGCTTATTCAATGTGTTTGAATTGCCTCTTAAATTCATATTCATGCAATGAACTAAATAAATTTCGTTCGTTACACTCTTGAATTTAGTGTTATATTATTAGCTACGAATAATGTTGTCTGCATGCATAAGGATATTATAGATTCGGTTCGTGTGTCATCATTCTGTCATTTGAACTGTTAAGTGGTGTTGCTTCAATTGCAGTTAGAGAGCCTTCCTAATATGGTTGCTGGAGTGTATTCCAATGATAATAATATGCAGCTGGAGGCAACTACTCAGTTTCGTAAATTGCTCTCTATAGGTATCTATTATGCTTTTATATTTACCTTCAGTTGCAAGAAATAGATTCTCTTTAGATATTTGTATTAGTGCGAAGCTCATTGTATTAGCTGAATTTTGTTTCACAGAACGGAGCCCACCAATTGAGGAAGTTATACAATCTGGGGTTGTACCTCGGTTTGTCGAATTTTTAATGAGGGAGGATTTTCCACAGCTTCAGGTAATGCCATTATCTGCCTCTATTTCTGTTTGTTTATTTGCTGTTAATCTTAACTTTGATTTGTAACAGTTTGAGGCTGCTTGGGCACTCACAAACATTGCATCAGGAACCTCTGAGAACACAAAGGTCGTAATTGATCACGGGGCGGTCCCCATTTTCGTTAAGCTTCTAGCTTCTCCAAGTGATGATGTGCGTGAGCAGGTAATGGATGGAAGCTGGTAGTTCATCTTGAAAGTCGAGATAATCTTTTAAGTCTAGACAAGGTGGAGATGCGGAGTCAATTTCTCATATATGATTATGTCTTTGTTGCAGGCTGTTTGGGCACTTGGAAACGTTGCTGGTGATTCTCCTAGATGCCGTGATCTCGTTCTTGGCCAAGGTGCTTTGATGCCTTTGCTTTTTCAGCTAAAGGAGAATGCCAAGCTTTCCATGCTTAGAAATGCCACATGGACATTATCGAATTTTTGTCGAGGAAAACCGCAGCCTCCATTTGAGCAGGTTGTTTACTCTATGTATATATATATATGTTGTAATAGTTATTACTATTTTGTCATACTGAACCCTTTTGGATTGCAGACGAGGCCAGCTCTTCCAGCCCTCGAGTGTCTTGTTCACTCAAATGATGAAGAGGTGTTGACAGATGCATGCTGGGCTCTCTCCTATCTGTCTGATGGTACGAATGACAAAATTCAAGCTGTGATCGATGCTGGTGTCTGCAAACGCCTTGTTGAGCTTCTCACGTGAGTTGTGCTTAATTTTTTGCTTGATCCACCTTTTGCATTGAAATGATCTAGATTTTTGATGAATTTGTCAAATTTTCAGTCATCCATCTCCTTCTGTACTCATCCCTGCTCTTCGAACTATTGGAAACATCGTGACAGGTGATGATGTCCAAACTCAGGTATGATCTTGTGAGAGTTCATATATTAAAGATTAGTTTTTGTTTCTACATTCCAATTGCAATTGAGATGACACATTTTTTCGTTTGATAGCATATTATAGGGCATGGTTCACTTCCCTGCCTGCTGAGCTTGTTGAGCAATAATCACAAAAAGAGCATTAAGAAGGAAGCCTGTTGGACCATTTCGAACATCACTGCTGGAAACAATGAACAAATACAGGTGAAGGACATGCATTGTCTAATCATTGATTCCCTTGTGTCGTGCTTTCTTTGCATATTCTATGTAAACGAGTCATCTTACTTCATATATTTTATCCGATTTAGCACTATTTGATTGTTACCCCAATTGCTTTGAAGTATTTCGTTTATGTAACCATGCATTGCACTAACCAGTTTGCAATGGCCTACCATATGCATGCTTATCAGACTATCACTATCATAACCGTGTTCTTGATGCAATTCGTTGGAAGAATATATGCTTGTTCCTGTAAACTCACCATATATATGTTTGGTTCCAGTTTGGTTACATCATTTAATAGTTCAAGGGGCAAACAAATAGATTTCCTTGCAAACTCACCATATCTCTAAAAGGGAAATCGAAGGGCTTTCGGATGTTTTATGGTTCAGTGTTATAAAGGACGAAGGATTGTGTGAGAATAGGAGTTAATGCGAGAAACGTAAGAAGGGAACTAGATCCTTGATCACTTTTAATCTCACCCCACCTCATGAATTGTGCTTGATACAGGAATTGATCCGGTGCATCTCGTTAATGTTGATCTTCAATTAGGATTGATCCAAGGATGGAGATCACTTCTTACCCTTCTCGCCATAACTTTCATTCTTATTGGAACTTAACCTTGTTATAAAATGAGTGCAAATTTTTGACACCAGTGTATAACGATTTGCTCTTTTCTATTTTAATTTACAGGCTGTCATTGAGGCTGGATTAATCTCTCCCCTGGTCAATCTGCTCCAGACAGCTGAATTTGATATAAAAAAAGAGGCCGCATGGGCAATATCAAATGCGACTTCTGGTGGTAGCAATGAGCAAATAAAGTGTGTTTTCTTTTTAACATCCTTCACAAAATTATACCCCCGTTATGTTAATATACGTACTGAAACTTCTAAGTGTGCTATTATTTCTAGGTATTTGGTGAGTCAAGGTTGTATAAAACCCTTGTGCGATCTTCTTATATGTCCGGATCCAAGGATAGTGACCGTCTCTTTAGAAGGGCTCGAGAACATCCTTAAGGTAGGGGAAATGGAGAAGAATGTGGGTAACACTGGTGAAGTTAATTTCTATGCCCAGATGATAGATGATGCTGAGGGATTAGAAAAGATCGAGAATCTGCAAAGTCACGACAACAACGAAATTTATGAGAAGGCTGTTAAGATTCTGGAGACTTATTGGTTGGAGGAGGAAGATGAAACTGTGGGCGATGGTGCTCAGCCTGGTTTCAACTTTGGTGGAGGTGTTCAAGTTCCATCTGGTGGATTCAACTTTAACAGCTGAAGGTAATTTCAGTTTCCTTTTCTTGCATTCATTTCCTTTCTCTCTATATATTTTTTGAAATTGCCCAAAGCAAATGCTACGTTTCTCTTAAGTTACTTTTTGCTCCGTTTGATGATCCTTACATAAGATTCATGTGCCTTGTATTTGTTAAGGGGTATTTTGGACATTAAAACTGATGCCATGAAGAGAATAGAACATAACAGTACAAAAACTCTTTGTCCCACGTTTGGCGCGCACTAGATTGGCAAAATGATGGGAATGAATGGGACAAAAAATTGCATTTTTTGGTTCCACCAAGATAGCTGCAACAAAAATCACGGAGATGGAACAAAGATTTGCAAATTACTGAATTAACCCATGTCAATTTAAATCTCTAAAACCTTCTACAATTTCTTCATCTGCCTGTCCGAGTGTCCGTCCGTCCAGTCCCATCTTATACCTAATGCACACTGTTAGATCCACTCGTTGGTAATTAGGAGATCCTGGTTTGAGTTTGCAAAATTCAAGAGAAATTATGTCCTAACGACAAGGTCTTTCCTTTTCGTTCATTTGAAAGTCGAGAAGCCTTTAGGTTGACTTTTTTCATATTACCATTCTACTGCTAATATGTGAATCAAGTGCATCATTGACAACCCTGATTATCTGAGCTGGTTAATTTGAACTTGCAGGGTTTTGAGAGGAAGATGAAATACATCAGTGGCGTCAAAGGTCAGGTCGAGTTGTCGGTTGGGTCGGGTCGGGTCGCTTCAGAGCGTCTTGTGTAATTTGGTTACACGATGGTCCAGTGACGGTCATGTCATGAAGAGATTCAAAGGTGGGTTCCAGTCCAGTATACAAAGGGATTGGCCGAGGTCTTATTTTTAGGGAGTCGGGGTCTGAAGGGAAAAAATTGTTTTGAGTGATGGAAGGGTGGTCGTAGGGTTCGAACGATGGGTGGTAATGGTATACGGAGTCTATTTTTCAGGTCAGGTTGTTTTTCATATTTCTTTTCACACGTTTAGAAGGTTTATGATGCCAGGAATGAAGAACGAAGAAGAACATAAGTTTTGGTCCATTTGCTTTTGAATTTCGAAATGTTTGATTTATATTCAAATTCGTTGACTCTTTGTTTTATGTCAAATGATTTGTATTCCATCTTATCTTGTATGACTTAATTTCAATTTTTTGTTGAATTGTTTGGATTTGAAATCCTATGATTTAATTGAAATCCTTCAAACATAGAATTTTGATTTGAGATTTCATGGGATTTTGTAGGATTATATGCAACAAGGTTTAGAAAATGTTAAAAACATTTGTTTTGTAATTAATAAAAAAAAATGTAATTTAACTATTTTTATAAATAATGAAATCCAATTCTATTTCAAATCCTACAAATTAAACACATCAATGATTTCAGATCCATTCTAATCCATGTCCCTCCATGAAATTCAAATCACTCGAAAATGGTCTTACAAACCAAATGGACCTTAGGCCTATTAAGAGAATTTGGAACTAAATTTTATTCTAATCTCGTGTTTGATTTGAAAGGAAGTTTAGATTTGAGATCTAGAAATTTCAATGAAATACTACAAACAACTTGCAAGATTCCTTTGTGTTGTCTTTATAAAGGGGGGTATTTTGGACATTGAACTGACGAGACGGGACATACCATAACATATTAGAAAGTTGATTTTTTTCAAGTTACCATTCTACCCTTAAGGGTGTTTGAGATTTCTTATTTGAAACAACTTATGTTTTATTCAAACACTCAAAAGTGCTTATTACCGGTATCACATCGGAATAAGTCAATAAATTGTTTTTATAAACAATCCCAAACACCTCTAAGATGAGAATCAAGTCCAAGTGCATCATTTAGGATGAAGAAAACAGTGAACCTTCCTGTTACTTATATTTAGGTTTCTGGGAATATGAATTAAACTCTTGTTAACCCTTATTATATGAGTTGGTTGGTTTGAACTTGCAGGGTTTTCAGAGCAAGATGAAATGCGTCAAAGTCAATCCTGGTCAGTTCGGGTTGAGTCGTCCAGTCAGGTCGGGTCATAACATCTCACATAGTTTGGTTACACAATGGTCTAGTGGCGGTCAAGTTTTGAAGAGATGCAAAGGTGGGCCAGTTGGTTTCAGTCCAGTATACGAAGGGGCTGGCTGAGATTTTATTGAATTGAAAAACATGTCGAGTCGAAAGGTAAAATTGTTTTCGAGTGATCAAAGGTGATCGTTTTGAAGATGTTTATGGAGTCTATTTCCATCGTTTTGAAGATGTTTACCAAGAATAATATTAGTATTTGTCCATTTGTTTTATGAATTTCGAATTGTTTGATTTTATGTTTAATAAGAGGACTAATCGTACTGATTAAGTTCTCGATGTATATTAATCTATCTGTATAGATCGAAAAGCGTTTTTCGTAGATGGAATTAGTATTTTTTAGCTGGAAGAGGCAAGTTTGGAAAAAAAAAATTATACATAAAGCTCTCTCAAGAAATTTATTGAATAAACCATATTTTATATCATTAAACTACTACCAAACACTGATGAATAGCTGACTAAATAAACTATGAGTCTCATTTAGTCATTAAGCTTATTAAGCTGCTAATAAATAGGTGTTAAGTATGTCATATTATTTGTGTTCTTACTATCTTATATAATCTAATTGCAATTTTCATGATATACTTATTTCAATGTTAAAGAAAAACAGCCAAATTATCATTATTTTAGAATAGAAGGTTACTCGCAAAATATAGCGAGATACAATTCGATTTTAATATTTCGTTTTATTTTTTGTTTTTGTCGATATAATATGGTTTTATGTGGTTTTGAGGAAGTCATAATGTTTTGAATATTTGAATAAAATATATATTTAAAGATATTATAAAAAATTTAAAAAAATATATCGATATTAATATCAAATTAACTATTCAAAAGTTCTTGTTTTTTGTATAATTTTTTTAGTTCAAGTTTTTATTATAATTTATTTTTTGTTTAACGATATAATTTTTTTATAAAGTTAATAATTAAGTATATAGTTAGAACTCAATAATTATTTTAATTATATTTTATATCTTTTATATTTAAAATGAGATGTTTATCTTGTATTTGATTATGATTATCTACAGTTAGTTATACGAATCAAATATGGAGCTTTAATAATTTGTATTTACGCACAATTTACTTGTAATCTTGAATTTTAAGTAATATGTATCAATAAAAAATAATTTTTATTAGATGTTTTTGTCAAGGATATGTTAAACTGGATCCTTGGTATATTTTTAAAAGAAGCACTAAATATATATTTAATTCTATTTCTTTAACGGAATAAAATATGCTTTGTAAACTCCATTTTCCCAATGTGATATAAGCGACGTCGTTTCATTATATCAGTCTCACATGGAGACTTGACCGGGTTTTCCGCCTATAATTTTGAAAAAAGTAAATTACACTTTTAGTCCATGTGGTTGTGGTGCACTATCAAATCTACTCCCTACTCTTAACATATTGCATTTTTGACCCCTTGGTATCCTTGCAATAGATTTCTACTTCGTCTTTCGTAATATATATGGTTTTAAAAAACTTAGGGGCTGTTCGGTAACAGCTTAATGGACTGTATAAGATGTATGACTTATTCCGTAAGCCATACATTGTTGTTCGGAAATGACTTATTGATTCAGAAATGGGCTTATTCGCTCAGCCCTGTTACTAGAGTCATATACGCTCAACCTTCCTCTTTCCATTCCTACCCTTATGAATATGTATGGGGATAATAATTGCTTAGTATTGATTTTTCCTTCAATGTAAAACAGAGGGTAAAATAGTCATTTTCACCATTCATATTGTTAATTCAGAATAACAACCAAACAACAACTTATCAGTTATACAGCTTTATCACTACAGATAATTCTATTCATACATGACTTAACGGAAAACGAACCGAATAGCCTCTTAATTCTTATTGTTTACAAAAGAGATCAAATGAGAATAATATAAGATTTTAAGATTTAAGATGGCATGCCGCCACTTGGACTTGAACCCAGATGCTCTAACATTGCATGTCTACTGACTTTACTTATATGCATTATTGAATGGTATGGGTGTAAGCGAGTCGAGCTTACAAGGAGCTACTCGAGCTCGTTTATCTCGAACTCAGGCTTAATAATTATCGAGTTCGAGTTGACCTCGGTCAAAAAATAAAACTCGTTTAATTTAATGAACCGAGGTTTATAACACTAATGTTCGACTTAGCTTGTTCGAAAACTTGATTAAACTTTTCAGGCCGAGTCGAACCGAACCATTCAAGCAAACATTTTTTCGAGCCAAGTATATTCATATGGTCATAAATCATACAATAAAAAATATTATTAACATCGAGCTTATAAACCAATAATGAATATCTATACTATATTATAAAGCATTTGGCTAAAACTCTTAAAAACTCTTAAAACTCTTAAAAACTCTTAAA